ATGATTTTTAAAGAAAGCCTATGGCATCTGGGTGGCTCAGTTGGTTAAACTACTGCCTTCAGCTCAAGTCATGATCCCAGAGTGCTGGGATGGAGCCCCATATAGAGCTTCCCCTGCTCTGCAGGGAGCCTGTTTCTCCCTCTCCCTCTGCCTGCCACTCCCCCTGCTTGTGCGCTCTCTCTGTCAAACAAATAAATAAAATCTTAAAAAAAAAATTAGGAAAGAAAGCCTGTAGAAATCTCCATGGAAATGCTCAGGACCTAGAATTGCCAACACAATTTTGGAAAGGAACAACAAAATTGGAAGAGTCATACTAATTTTAAGACTCCCTATAATACTATGATAACCAAATCACTGTTAGGAGAGTAAAGGTAAAAAATAAATCAACAAAATAATATAGAAATATACACATACATATATGGGCAATTGATTTACGGCAAAATGCCAATACAATTGTACAGTGAAAGGATAGTCTTTTTAAAAAATGTGGTACTAGAGCACTGGATAGAAACTTGGAAAAAAAAGTCTCATTATCCTTACTTTATACCATGTAAAAAAATTATCTTGAAATGGATCATTGACTTAAATATAAGAGCTAAAACAATAGCACTTCTAGAAGAAAATTTAGAAGAAAACATTTGTGACCTTAGTTTAGGTAATGATTTCTCAGGACACCAAAAAAATGAACCTTAAGAGAAAAAAATGTCAGGGGCACCTGGATGGCTCAGTCAGTTAAGCATCTTCCTTTGGCTTGGGTGACGATCTCAGGGTCCTGGGATCGAGTCCCTCATCAGGTTCCCTCCTCAGTGATCCTGCTTCTCCCTCTTCCCCTGCCCTTCCCCCTGCTCATGCACTCTCTCTAATAAATAAAACCTTTTTTTAAAAAGGAGAAAAAAATGTCAAATTGGACTTATAAAATTAAAAACTTGTGCTCTTTGAAAAAACTATTATGAAAAGGCAAGCCATATACTAAGAGAAAATATTTGAAAAATAAATATATGTATTATTTTTAAAGATTTTATTTATTATTTGACAGAGAGCAAGAGAGGAAACACAAGCAGGGGGAGTGGGAGAAGGAGCAGCAGGCTTCCTGCTGAGCAGGGAGCCCAATGCGGTGCTCTATCCCAGGACCCCAGAATCATGACCTGAGCTGAAATCAGATGCTTAACCAACTGAACAACCCAGGTACCCTGAAATATATATTTTTGATAAAAGACTATCCAAAATATATAAAGAACTACAACTCAATAAGAATAATTCAACTTAAAAATGGGCAAAACATCTCAATAGGCATTTTGCAAAAGAAGATACACAAATGGCCAAAAACCAAGAAGATGGTCAATATCATTAGTTATCAAAGAAATATAAATAAGAACCACAGTGAGATGCCACTACATACATACTAGAATGGCTAATGATAAGACTGACAATGCAAAGTGTTGGTGAGGATGTGGAACACAGGAATTCTCGTCCACTGCTGGTAGGGATGCAAAGTGGTACAGTAATTTGGAAAAACAGTTTGGCAGTTTTGTATAAAGTTGAACATAGACAAGAGGATGGGAGAGGAGAATAAAATTTAATATAGGCTTATCCTGTAGTTCTACTCCTTGGTATTCACTAGGAATGAGAACATATGTGCATACAAATACACTCAAATGTTCATAGCAGCTTTAGTCATGGTAGTATAAAACTAGAAACTACCCAAATATCCATTAACGAGTGAATAGATCTTAACAGATATATACCTTTGTAGAATAGAATATTACTCTGATATAAAAAAGGAGCACCTACTCTTTTACCAACCAACAACATGGATAAAGTTCGGAACTGTTACGCTAAGTGAGAAGAGCCAGGTACAAGAGAATATGCGTTGCCTGATTCCATGGAGATGAAATTCTAGAAAAGGCAGAACTATAGTGACAGAAAGTCATAGATCAAAGGTTGCCAGAGGCAGCGGTAGGTGGAAAGGGCTGACTCCAGAGAGGCATGAGGGAATTTTGGGGGGCGATGGAAATTTTCTCTACTTCGATAGCAGTGACGGCTCCATTTGTCAAAGGCAAATGGAGCTCATTGGTGAATCTTATTGCATGTAAATTATATCTCAGTAAAGCAGATAGAAAAACCAACCCGGGGGCGCCTGGGTGGCTCAGTGGGTTAAAGCCTCTGCCTTCGGCTCAGGTCATGATCCCAGGATCCTGGGATCTGAGCCCCGCATCGAACTCTCTGCTCAGCGGGGAGCCTGCTTCCATTCCTCTCTCCCTGCCTACTCATGATCTCTCTCTCTCTGTCAAATAAATAAATAAAAATCTCTAAAAAAAAAAAAAAAAAAAAGAAAGAAAGAAAAAAACCAGCTCAAAGAAATGGAAACATTGAGACAAACGGGTCCCACACAGTTTGTTCACTTCCTTACTCACTCAATCATTCTACATTGAGTTTCCACAGTATACCAGGCACTGTTTTATAGGCACTGTGGTGAAGGCAGTAAATGAAACAGGCAGTCCTTGCTCTCTTGGAGCTTAGATCCTGGCTGGGGAGAAAGATATGGCACAAATGAAGACTGAGCCAGTGATGGGTCCCATGGGGGAATCAAATGATTATGGAAGGGTAGGAAGAGGGGGTGCTGTTTGTGGTCAGGGAAGACTTCTTCAGTGAGAGGACATATGAGCAAAGGTTGAATTGAAGTGGGGGGTATGTGTGTCCTTCTCATGGGAACAGTAAACGTAAGACTCCTAGGAAGGGGTGCGTTTGGAATTTTCAAGGTACAGTCAAGAAAGTCAGTGTGGTTTGAGCAGGGTTAAGGAGGGGAGAGTATCAAAGGTTGAGATTAAGAGAGGTTTCTGCAGGCCAGAAGTAAAGGATCTTGGATTTCATTTGAAGTGAAAAGGGAAGCCACGTGGTCTGATTTGTATTTAAATGGATCCTTCTGAAAGCCCCTGGCTGGCTCAGTCAGAAGAGCCTGCAATTCTTGATCTCAGGGATGTTAGTCCAAGCCCCACACTGGGTGGAGAGATTACTTAAATATTTAAAAAAATTAAAAGCAACCTTCTGGCAGCTGTGCATAGAATAGATCAGGAGTTGGAGAACTTTTTTTCTGTAGTTATTCGGTAAATACTTTAGGCTTGTGAACCATATGGTCTCTGCAGAGACTACTCAGTTCTGCTGTTACCAAGTGAAAATTGGCATGAATAATACATACATGGAGTGTGTGGCTGTGTTTCAATAATACCTTATTTACAAAAACAGGCAGTGGGCTGGGTTTAATTCTGTAGTTTGTTGAACCCTGGAATAGACTATAAGGAACCAATGGTGGAGGTAGGTAGACCAGGTTGGAGGCAATAAAATTGAGCAAGAGGTAATGGTCACCTGGACCAGGGTATGGTAGGGAGGTGCTGAGTGGTGGTCAGACTGGATGGTGGATGTCTGAAGGTAGAGCCAACAGGATTTGCTGGTGATATGCGGTGTTTGAAAAGGAAGTTTTTGTCCTGATTAACTGGAGGAGCATTTTTATCCTGGGAGAGGATCAGGTTTGGGGGTAGGGGAAGAGATTATTGATAAAAATCAAGAGTTTGGGTTTGTTAAGTATGGGTTATCTCTTAGGTATCAGATACATGGAGCTGGCCAGGGGACCTGGAGCATGAAGGAAAGAGAGTGGGTTTACAGAAATAAACATCAGAGTCTCCATTTGTATAGATGGTTTTGAAAGCCCTGGTAATGAATGAGATCTAGGGGGATCTCAGAGATAAAGGGAAAAAAAGTTAGAGGGCAGTTTTACAGATAGGCCTCCCAGATGTTCAGGGAGAGATGATATTGGTCTTACCTTCACTGTTCTACCACATAGAAGGAGAGAGCACCCCACCCCCCTGTTCAGGAGGCTAGTATGCCTCGATACCCAAATAAGGAGTTTATGGATTAACCTCACTTATGAGTGTGTAAGTTTAAAAAGAATGTTTTAATATATTAGCAAAGCAAATCTAGAAGTTTATAGTATAATCAAGTAGTATTTATCTTAGGAATGAAAAGTTGGCAGAATAGTATTCTATTAATATAACTTACCATGTTAACAGGTTAAAGAAAGAACCTATGATTACCTGAGTAGAAAAGCATTTGCTAACCATCTTTGATTAAAATGAACTCCCAGAGCGCCTGGGTGGCTCAGTTCTTAAGTGTCTGCCTTGGGCTCAGGTCATGATCCCAGAGTCCTGGGATCGAGCCCCATATTAGGCTCCCTGCTCAGCGGGAAGCCTGATTCTCCCTCTCCCACTCCCCCTGTTTGTGTTCCCTTTCTCACTGCTGTGTCTCTCTCTGTCAAATAAATAAAGCCACTGGGCGGCTCAGTTGGTTAAGCAGCCCACTCTTGGTTTCAGCTCAGGTTATGATATCAGGGTCAGGAGATCCAGCTCTGTGCTCATCATGGAGTCTGTTTAAGATTCCCCCCACCCCACGCTCACATGCACTCGATCTCTCTCTCAAATAAATCTCTCTCTCTCTCTCTCTCTCTCTATATATATATATATGAACAAAACAAGGACATATACCGTTATAATCTTACCCAATATTATACTGGAGGTCCTAGACCGTGTAGTTGGATTTTAAAAAGACACAAAACTGCTATTAACAACGATGATTTGCATAGAGAGCTCAAGATAAACTATTAGAAGTAAGAGAATTTCTGGATACACAGTCAGTATGGAAGTCATCAACAGTGTCCTGTCACCAGCATTAAAAGATTTAAAAATGTGATTTTGAAGAGGGGTTAAACTGGCCCAAAGTCACGCAGCTAGGAAGGGGTGCGCTGGGACGGACATGGGGCTCTCTGCCTCCTACGGCCCGGCCTGGGCTCTTGGTCAGGGCTACACGGTCTCTGAGGAAGGGCTGCCCTGCTGCGGAACGACTGTATCCCCGCTTGGTGTCTGTCCATCCCTACCCAGGACTTGAGGCCTGAGCAGGGCCTCCTAGCCCCGGGGCAGGCAGTCTCCCTAGGCCTGCGGGGAAAGGCTCACCATGGGTAGCACGGAGGCCTGAAGCGAGGCAATGGTGATGGGCTTGGTCTTCTTGTCTTCCTGGCAGGCTGGCGGCAGGATTTCCACGAGGTTCATCTCTTCTTTGGCTTTCTCCCCCAAGCATATCTAAGAGCGGTTGAAGACAAGACAGGCCACCTCAACACCTGAGGGCAGCGGAGGGAAACCCTGGTTCCACCTTCTGGGACCAGAGGGTCCCCCCTGCCCTCCGCAGCTGTCCAGGTTCCTCCCGGCTGCATCCGACCACCCCTTCTGGTGGTGGGTGGGGGGGGCACCCACCGTACTGAGCAGCAGCTTGCAGTCCTGCTTCCCCTCCTTCTGGGCTTTGACCGTGCAAGTCCGCTTCTCCTGGTTTAGCTCACAGCCTGCGAAGGGAGAGGAGCGAGGGGGCCGGGCCGGCTCGGGGAGGGGCTCCCCGTTTCTATCACAACTCCCCACCCCCCGGGTTCGGGAGCCGCCAGGCCCTCACTCACCCCAGAGCATGGCCCTGGGCACTCTCTCGGCCGCGCTGCTCGTGCTGCTGAGGTTCATGCCGCCGGTGGCGGGAGCCGGGTCCCGGCGGCTGTGCGGAACCGGCGCCCGCGGTGAGCGGAGGCCCGGTCCGCATCCCGCACCCGCATCCCGCCCCGAGCCCCCCTTGCCCCCCGCAGGCACAGCGGCGCAGCCCCGGGGCAAGCGGATCGGGGCGGGTCGGGGCGCTCGACGCCCTGGCCGGGAAGGTAACTGGGATTGCCCGGGGGCCCCCTCGGTGCTGTTGTGGTCCCAGCGGCCCTTCGCCAGGGAAGGCTGCCAGTCAGCCGCCTCTCCGGCCCCGCGCGCTGGGCGCCCCCGGCTCCCGCCCTCCGGCCTCCTCCCAGCCCCACCTGAGCGCCGTCGCCCACTGCAGGCTGTTAGGAGGCTCGCGGAGGGCGAGCAGGGCGCCGTCTACTCCGTCTTAAAGGAGAGGCCCTCCTTTCCCCGTTGCGCCCGGCCATCCCTTCCTTCTCCTCCTGCCGGGGCGCACCTGGACGACTTGTTAAAGCGCAGGGCCAGGTCCCATCTCCGCCGTTTCCCACAGTGGAGGGCTGGGTGGAGCCAAGGCGATTTGCATTTCGAACAGGTTCCCAGGTGAAGTTGCTTGCTGCGGGCCCAGGACTGAGCTGGGAGCACCACCTTCATGACCTCTGCGGACTCACCAAGGCCTGCCCGGTGAGACCGCCTAGCTTAGACTTGCTTCTCTACCCCCATGGGAAGCAGCATTAAGGTTTCTTACTACTCGTCGCCTTCCTTCCCGCCCTTTCTCTGCCCCCTAGATGTGGGCCTTTTCCAAGGCCAGGAGGGCGGGTCCCCAACAGTTATGGTTCCCAGTGAAGCGCCCTGTTTCCAAAAGGATGATTTCTCGCATGGTCAGGAAGGGGTGGGAATGAGTTTGGTTACCGTAGAGGCTGCTGTGGCTCACTGCTGTGAGGAATACACGTGGGACACACTTTACGAGGACCAGTCATTTAACAAACAGCAGTTCACGGGGCGCAGTGCAGCACTGAAATGTTTGCTTGGGCCGGGTAGGGGTAGTGAAGAGGAGGAGGCTTTTCAGTTGACCACATCCCCCTCTGTCTTGTTCATGTGACATCTCTGGGAGCCAGAAATAACCAGCGATCTGATTAAATTTTTATTTCCCTCTCTTTTCCTCCCCCTCCCTTCCTTCCTTCCCTTCCTTTCCCTTAGCCCCTTTCTTCCTCTCCTATCTCCTCTCCCCTCCCCTCTTCTCTCCATCCCTCCTCAAAGTATAGTTGGTCTGATTGTATTTTTATCCTTCACTCCCATCCAGGGAACTTCTCACCTACATATAGGTTCAATGCTTTTCTTTCTTTTTTTGAAGATTTTATTTATTTGACACAGAGAGAGTGATCACAAGTAGGCAGAGGCAGGCAGAGAGAGAGGACGAAGCAGGCTCCCTCCTGAGCAGAGAGCCCGATGTGGGGCTTGATCCCAGGGTCCTGAGCCGAAGGCAGAGGCTTAACCCACTGAGCCACTCCAGCAACCCCCCCCCACCCCGGTTCAATGCTTTTCAACAAAAGTGCCAAGGTAATTCAATAGGGATAGTCTTCCAAAAATGGTGCTATAGGAACTGGATAGATCTTTCTGGAACCTTGACTGAGCTTCTGCTGTGCAGGAATCAGCTCCCGCCTGCCCCCAACACTTTTAACACATCAACTTTATTGAGAAATAATTTATGTACACGAATGCACTCGTTTAAAGTGTGTAATTTGGGGTGCCTGGCTGGCTCAGTCAGTGGAGCAAGTGATTCTTGACCTTGGGGTTGTAGTTTCAAGCCCCACATTGGGTGTAGAGATTACTTATATTTATATAATAGAGATTACTTATATTTATAAAAATAAAATCTTTTAAAGGTGCATAATTAAAATTTGACAAATGTATATAGCTGGGTAGCCACCACCACAGTCCAGTTATAATTTCCATCACTCTCCCAAATTTTCTTGTTTCTCTTTGCAGCCAATATCCTCACCCTAACGTCTAACTGGCATTAGGCAAACACCTATTCTGACACTGTGGATCATTACTGACTGTTCTAGAATTTCAGGTAAGTAGAATCCTACAGGGTCTTTTTGTCTGCCCTCTTTTGTTGAACAAAATGTGTCTGAGACTTATTTATCCATACCATACCATTACTTCTATCAGTAGTTTGTTTCTGTTTATTGTTGAATAGTATTCCACAATTTGAGAAACACTTTTTTTTTTAAAGGTTTTATTCATTTATATAAGAGAGAGAGCGAGAGCACGCGTGCTGTCAGAGGGAGAAGCAGACTCCCAGTGGAGCTGGGAGCCCAATGCGGGACTCGATCCCGAGACTCTGGGATCATGACCTGAGCCAAAGGCAGTTGCCTAACCAACTGAGCCACGCAGGTGCCCGTATACGCCCAGTTTATATACCCAGTCACCTGCTGGTCAGTTTTATGCATCAACTTGACTAAACTATCATACCCACTTATTCAAACACTAATGAAGATGTGGCTGTGAAGGCATTTTGTAGAGGTGATTAACACAAATAATCAGTTGCTTTTATATAAAGATTACTCTCAGTAATGTGGGTGGTCTTGATCCCATCAGTTGAAAGGCCTTAGGAGCAGAACCGAGGTTTCCCTGAAAACGTTCTGCCTGTGGACTGCAGCTTCAGCTCCTGCTGGAGACCTTCCTATTTGCTTTTCTTGATGACCTGCTCTGTGGGTTTCAGACTTGTGGCTAGCCCCCAGTACTGCATGAGCCAATTCCTTGTGATATGTCCCTGACTGATATACCCTTTGATGGATATTTGGGTAGTTTTCAGTTTTACACGTATGTTATGAATAAAAATGTCATAAACATTAGAGAGGAAGTCTTTGCATGGACATATATTTTAGTTTTTCTTTCCTTTTAAAAAAAAAATTTATTTATTTACCTGACAGAGAGAGTCACAGCAAGACAGGGAACACAAGCCGGGGGAATGCGAGAGGGAGAAGCAGGCTTCCCGCTTAGCGGGGAACCCGATGTGGGGCTTGATCTCAGGACCCCAGGATCATAATCTGAACTGAAGTCTGACGCTTAATGACTGAGCCACCGAGGAATCCCTGTTTTAGTTTTTCTTTGACAATACTTAGTAGTAGAATTGCTGGATCATTTTGTAAGCCTATATTAAACTTTATGTGAAACTGTAAAATTATTTTCCAAATTCCTGTGCCATTTTGCATTTCTATCAGCAATGTATGAAAATTCCAATTGCCATACATCTTCATCAGCACTTGGCATTGTAAGTCTTCTTAATTTTGGCCATGCTGTGGATGTGTGCATATATATATATATATATATATATATATATATATATATATATATGGTGTGACATCTCTTGTATTTATTTTTATTTAACGACAAGTGATGTTGAGCATCTTTTGAAGTTTACTAGTCATTTGTGTATCTTCTTTTGCAAAATACCTTTTTAAATACTTTGTCCATTTTAAAATTGGGCTATTTTCGATTATTCTTTCTGAATTGTAGGGATTCTTTTTACACTTTGGATACCTATGTTGTGTTATGTATATGCATTACAGATCTTTTAATCCTGCCCGTGGCTTATCTTTTCATTTTTTAAAATGGCATCTTTTGAAGAGCATTTTAAAATTTGATGCAGTCCAATAAACTTTTTTCCTTTTATGGTGCATGGGTTTGGTATTTGAAGAAATCTTTGTTTAACCCAAGGCCATGAAAGTTTTCTCCTAAGTCATCTTCTAGAAGTCTTATAGTTTGAACTTTTACATCTGTGATCCATTTGAAGTTTAGGTAAGCATTGAGGTTCATTTCTTTTTTTCTCTCAGGTGGATCCTCAGTTCTTCCAATGCCATTTTTGGAAAAGACTACCCTTTCTCTATTGAAATGCCTTGGCACTCTTGTTGAGAATCAGTTAAGCATGCACATGTTGGTCTATTTCTGGACTTTTTTTTTGTCCCATAGACCTGTCTGACCTAGTGCCAACACTACAGTACGGATTCCTGTAGCATTATGGTGTATCTTGAAATCAGATAGGTGAGCTCTCTAACTCTGCTCTTCTATTTCAAAAACGCTATCCTGAATTTTTTGCATTTTCAAATAAATTTTAGAATCCACTTGCCAGTTTTTACAAAAAAAACTTTCTGGGACTTTTACTGGGATTTTGTTGAATGCATAGTTCAATTTAGGGAGAAATGACATCACAATTTTGAGTCCTCTAAACCATGAACATGTTATGATCTTTGTTTAGATTTAAAGATTGTGCTCTGCAATGTTTTATAGATTTTAGTGTGCAAGTTTGGCACATATGTTAAATTTATTCCTACGTATTTCATGTTTTTTGGATGCTAGAACAAGTATTGTATATTTTGAAATTTCATCTAACAGCTCATTTTTAGTATATAGAAATAGGTGGTTTTTTTATACTGACCTTGTATTTTGTGCTTTGGTAAATTCACTTATTAGTTCTAGTAGCTTTCTGAGCCCGAAATTGTGACATCTTTGAACAGTTTCACTTCTTTCTTTTTGATGGGTGCACCATTAATTAATTGCCTATGTGCTCTGATTAGGACTTCAAGTATAATGTTAAATTGAGGAGGTGAAAGAAGTACCCTTTCTTTGTTCTTGACTTTTGGGGTAATATTCAGTCTTTACCATTAAATTCTGTTGGTGGTAGGCTTTTCGTAGATGCCTTTTAATAGGTAAAGAATGTTTCCTTCTATTCCTAATTTGCTGAGAATTTTCATGTGTAGTGAATCTTGTCATGTGCTTTTTATCTACTGAGATCAGCTTTTTCTTTTTCATTTTGTTTATTCTGCTAATTACATTTATTCCTTGCATTCCTTGGTCATGATGTATAATCCTTTTCATATATCCCTGGATTTAATTTGTTTGTATTTTAAGATGTTTTGCGTTTATGAGGTATATTAGTCTAAAGGCTTTTTTTTTTTTCTTTTAATGTCTTTGTCTGGTTTTACTATCAGTGAGATGTCTGTTCTATAAAATGGAAAGTG